TCTGAGCAGCGTCGCGTGCCCAATGCAACGAGGTAGGCCTAGCGCGACTTTAAAGAAGGAAATCCGTAGCGTTCACCCAAACGTCGTGTTTTTCTTTCCGTCCACTTTCTTTTTTTGTGTAACGCAATTATATATATGCTGCAATTACGTATTCTACTCGTCGATTTACAGCCTCATTTTGAATTTCCTCGATTTTTTCGTGCCGACTTCCACCGCTTGGCATCGGGCGCTCGCGCGTGCGCAGAACGCTTCTCGGAAAAGGTCCATTGTGTTAGCCGGGTTTGAACAGCTCGTCTGGCAACTTTCGTCAATATCTTCTAATGCTTCTTCCAGTTTCTGTCCTTGTCTCGGGGATTAAAAACCGTGATTAACCTGCGTCAGGTTTATATTGTTTTCGCGTTTCGTAGTAACCACTGTGTTTGAACGGCGCAAGTGATAGGGGGATATTTTCCCGCTTGTACGCTTTACTCAATACCTTACACAAGACAGTGTTCACTTTTGTAATCGAGTTGTAGGACACCGAACAGAAGTCACCTAGTTCAAGTGATTCCCCACAGTTTAAAGTCGTGTAAATCCTACTAGTCTTTTCCCACAGTAATTTTGGCTTCTACATTGTTTGCTGTGTTATAATCTAAAGATTGGAATAACAACACAGAATCAATTTTAAACATATCTATATTCACAGGTTCATAAGAAAAGAACTGCTATATTAATCGGAGGAAGCGCGTTCTATTTCTGCGCGGTCCCTTGTAATAACACCGCCACGTTAAATTTTCATTATTTTGTAACGGCTAGCCTGCCCTTTCTTTTCGTGCAGTGCGCTTTCTTGGTAGACGCTTTGCAGAGTAAGATGTTTCGCGCTGGTGTCCGTGCCAGTGCACCATGGCATCGCTCCTTATCTAAAATTCCAGTAGGGCTTTCGAACAGCATAGTTTTGAAAACGCGGCGTAGGCTTTTTTTTTTCCCGCCTATCTTACTCGCAGGATTGCTTCGCAACTCTTCGCAGGCCTCTCTTCACAATTATGACTCGCATTTCCTCGTTTTATTGTTTTCATCTTTACTTCCTTTCTAAGCAAATCGCTCTTTGAGGAGCAAATATTGCCAGTCAGTTTCCCTAACATTTGTGAGCTATTCTTGAGGGCGTCCGTCAATGGAACCTCACTCAAAAACATTGTGTTCCGTTCGACATCTACAAACAAACTTTTTCTTTTCACTTTGAGTCTTCCAAGAGTACAACCCCCGAAACAGCCTGGCCGGAGAAAAAGCTGCATTTCTGCAGCTTTTTCTCCGGCCTCCCATTCACCACATGTACTTGAGGTGAAGACTAAATGTTCGTATCGCATCGTATGGCATCGTATGGCATCATACTAGACAGAGCTGTATATGCGAGTATCACGTGTGGACGATGCCCCCCGTTCCAGATCTCTCCTGTATTCGCAGTTGGAGGCTACCTGTTGGCGTCCCTTCAATAAAGAGTGTGGCCACCTAAATGAGTTCAGTGCTCGCATATGACAGCGGTCCCAAATGGACTTTGGCGTGACACGATAGTTACAGCATAACAAAATTACCTAAAAAACATTAAACCGATCTAAACGTGCATGACTAAACCCTGGAAATAGGTATATTTAATAGATATAGTGCATTCCATTTCGTTGCCAACGTCTGCACCCATACTCCATAACATTCAATCAATTCCATTTCGTTGCCAACGTCCGCACCCATACTCCATAACATTAAATGCAAAATAACCGTACCGGCACCGCCGATAGGCGTTATATTTCGTATCGCCCGCGCAGTTTGTACAAAACTAAAGTCTCGAAGCAATTTTTTTTATTTATTTTTACTGCCAGCCGTAAGGCCAGGGCAAGAGTGGTACAAATACCATACATAAACAAAATGTCATAATTACATTCACACAAAAAACACATGAATAGAAAGGAAATTAATTACATGCATACACAAGCTCTAGTTCCTTTGCGAATGACATGAAATTTTCGGAATTGACAACACGTGCGGGTAGCTTGTTCCATTTATCTATACACCGAACAAAAACAGGAGTACTTAAAACGATCTGTTGAGCACCAATATGGTTGAATATAATGATTATGTTTTGAGCGAATATCTTGGAAAAACTATTTTCGTCTTTCAGCAGTTACTATGCGGACAAACGAAAATCACCTACAAGCCGTCGAAAAAAAACTACAGAAAGTCGTTAACCTATCAGGACTGGTCGTAACACCCTGAACCACCGTTCCCAAACTCCGCCGTACTGACAAAAATATCCCCCCCCTTAGTCCCGAACGCGGGACCAATACAAGATTCAGACAGCTTTCTAAACATGCTCTTAACGTATCAATTACGCTCGGTCTGCTCCTAAACTATTGAGCTTGGTCTTCTACAACGCACAAATGTCGAGGTCTTGCTGCCTTGACGTCATGGCGATGAAATTGCCTTTGCCTTCTTCGATCCGCAACCCCTCGTACGCTAAGGGTTGCTACTTGCACAGGCCTTTCAAGGGAGACTATAGCCTAGCAGGACCAGAAGAAACGTTTTCGCTTACCTTGGTGCTTTCCATCGTACAGGGCGGCATGTTCACATAGGAGCTGACTGGAACTATCTGTCGCTTTGGAGATGCAGCACAGCCTGTGGCTGGTTGGTAACGTGACTTGTCCCCGCGCCCACCTTCAATGCCCGCTCGAGTTTGCGCGGCCATCATTATTGCGAAGCTTCCGTAGAGTCGTCATGTCGCAGATTCACGGAGCTTCACTCGGCGTCTATCGCTGATGAGGCGAGGTTTTCGTCAGGCGCCAGATTCACACTTTCTCGAAACTACCATTTCCGACCTCGGCGGGCGCTCAACTGCGGTATCAGGAGCTGCAGAAGACTGCGCCATCGGTGCAGGGGAGCTCACTTGCGACGACACAGTAAACAGCGCATGATTCATGTTTTTTTTTTTGTGCTGGACTGTTTTTCAGCACCACTTTCAGGCTCAGTTGCTTTTTCCATCGCTTCCTCAATTATTATGAGCACACTATACTCCTCGGTAGCTTCTCGGCCAGAGGATCAAGCGTACGAACAGGCACAACAGGCCCGCGCGTGCCCATACGCCCGGCACTTCGTACGGCTAGGAGCGTACAGTCCGGACGGATATGGCCAGTCCTACAGCAGCGGAGTCGCAGTGTAGCCCGTCCATGCACCACCACGATCACCGTGCCGCTGGCTGAGGCGAATCTGGTGCAAAAGATGCTCGAGTTTCACGCCCTCCCGGAGCTACAGCAGTAGCAGTCGGATTGTAGAATAAACTACGTTGAAGCCTCGCACCTTCCACTGCTCTTGCGTCACTTCCTTGACTACACCGTATTTTCTGAAGACCTTTTGTATGGCGTCGTTCGAGATCTCAAACGCCACCCAGCAGAGATTGACCCGGAGCTCCCGCCGGAATGGGTCAACGACGAGGCCTGGTCGGCCCTTGACAGCGAGTCGCTCTGCCATGAGCATGATCTGCTTAGCACAGTCCGTCTTCACGTCTAGCAGTCAGGCGTGGGGCATTTGATACGCCCCTAGTCTGGCGACTTCCCCGATTCACCCTGCCTGATTGAGCGAACGCCGAAAATGCTCGGCGCGTTACGGTCATCCCGTGATATCGTCATGCGGAACGATCAAACATTTCATCGCATCAGCTGTTGGCAAGTGTGGTAGAATCATTGGAGAGTCCTGTAACAGTATACCTTGCTGGGCTGGTTGGTTGAACGACATAATGAGAAACAGCGCAAAAGGGGTAGGACACCTTCTTTTCCTTTGTGTCTTGTCCCTTTTGCGCTGTTTTTAATTATGTCATTGGATAGTCCTTGGGCACGAAAGGTACAGCATCGCTACGGCCGGTGTTGTCCGTTATTGCAACTGGCACACGGCCCACTTTGCGTCCGCTCGTATCGTCAGCCGGAAAGAAAATGACAGAGCTGCGCCACAGTGTGAACCCGCTTTATACTTACGGTTGGCGTTGTACCTGATGCCCACCGCACGTAGTCTCAGAAAAAAAAAATACAGGCAAATGAATATTAACAAAACACCGTCGTGGCACTGGCAATGCCAATAGCTCACGACGAAAAACGTCTTTTCACGCGCTACGGATAAAACAAAAAAAGAAACGAAATTGTTCGAAACAAAATGGTCAAACATCTATCTTCTCTGCACTTTTTTGTTCACGCTCTCCACGATGCGTGAACAAGACGCTGATGGCCAGTCACTTCGCCGTGACGTGTCGCAGTTATCGCTGCGATTGTACTGCGAATGTACTGCGAATCGAAGGGTGAAACACATGTGAACCCAAGTCGCGTTGCTACGCGCCGCTTAGCGGCGTAACCTTGACGACGGTTGATGTCAATGGTGGTTTCTACACTTACGCCGCGCGGCGGCGCGCTGCGTTGCGATTTTGGCTCACATGCATTTCGCGCTTTACACAGCACTGCTCATGTTCATTTGCTTGTTTTCCCTAGTCCGTTCTAGTCAAGAGGGATCGCTGTTGTCAACCCCTAAATTATCACATGCAAAGTCGTATAACTTAATCCAAAAATTGTCGTGCCACGTTTTATTAACAAAAACTAAAGTAATATTTCAGCAACAACAATAACCTTCCGAGAGAAGTTGATAGACATCGGCGGTGCATGCTTAAAATATACCTAGGGTTAAACGCATTTTCTTTTCGTGAAGATTTTTGAACCTCATAGCTTAACAGGCGCAATTTGTAACGGCATGTTTCTGGTATACGTAGAACATGGGCATTCCATTCGCCCTTTAAACAGAAGACGAAACCTTTTCCACGCAAGACAGGTGTGTGAGAATATTTTTTTTTATTACGTGGACAATAGCTTTTGTACTTTAGCAGCTGATTGACAGGTTCAATAAAAAAGAACAGAAGATCTTGCCTTAGGTACTGTATTGTTAGAAACACCGAGCACTATACCCAGATATATACCTTGTTCGAACGTATCTGTATATTTGAAATTGAAGAGGCAATGATTGTCCTTGTCTTCTTGGGAATACCGCTCTTATCTCATTGCGATACTATTTTACCTAAAGAGAGCGGAGGAGATTATCCTGATGCCAACGAGGTAAGAAAATAACATACATATACGGTGAAGTCTCTTTAATGTGGACACCTCTGTTCCCCTAAAAACTCGTTCATTATGTGAGTTGTCCATAATAACGAGACAATAATGCACGCATTTTCCCAGATTGCCCCCGAAAATGGTGTAGAGATAGCGGGCGACCAACATTAACGTGGGTCATATTAACGAGACATGACTGTAACCCGTTTATAGCGACGTAATGAGCACAGAGTTTTTGTAGTAGCTTGCACCGCAGTACATGAAGGTTCATATGTGTATATGTATGCCGTTCGAAGACTCACACTGTATAGAGGAAATCTGGCGTCGCAGGTTGCGGCTGACTTCACCTCACCCGCATCACCGCGACAATAAATTTAAACACATATTGTGTTTTTGGGCGGTATTTTATGCGAAAGGTGTCACGCCCGAGTGTGATACAAAATCGTTACACTCAGACCGAGGCAGGGTAAAGGATACGCCACCCATAGTTGGCAATGGGTAACGATACAAAAGAAGGCATTCTTAATCGTGATTCGAACTAACGATCTGGCAAAAGTATCGCAACAAACGAAATCTACGAAGCTGCTTAATGGAAACCGAAGTCTGGATCATGCTTTAAAGAAGAGGTATCTCACAATGCAGCAGTCCAGCGAGGCGGAAAACAAACAAACAAAAAAGCAGGTAGCCGCTTACCCAGAAAAGATAGGCAATTTGTTAAAGCTTGCCTCAAGAAACCCACTGGACTGCTCCTTTCCGTCAGCCGCCCAACGGATACATTAAGCATCTTTGAGTGAACACAACCGGGAATACATCCACTTGGTTGGTCATTAAACAAGATTTAATCAAACTTGAACACAGTAATAAATTCTCCATTCGCGGTTTGGAGGAAATTTTCCTTGTGCCGACTAATACGTATACGCGACGATTGTTGAAAGGTTCAAGCCGGTTCGCTTTCTTTAATGCTCATGCAGATTTCGTAAAAGGGCGCTAAAAAAGATATGAGTTGGAGTTATAGCTTGCCACACGCACCATGCTGAGCCGCTTGGTTCCTGATCGATTCAATGTGCTACTATCGCATCCATGTAAACCCAACCCAGGTGCGATAGTACCTCAGTGAATTGATTTAGCCCATCGTATCAGGCCACGGAAATGCCTCGATTCACAATGTACGCGTACTAAATTGGATCTAGTCCCATCCCCTAGAAGGAGATGGTTTGATATTTTCAAGGCGCATCACGATCTTCATGTTGACCACGCTGAATCCAATTACGTGCTGAAACGAGCAATAACTGACTTGTTCTGGTATGTTGAGAGGGCGTGCAGAAGGACCAACATGGCGACAACAAACGAAGAAACGGCCCGCAACATTCTCAGATTCAAAGAAATTTGCTGAGAAGTCAAACACAAATCAAGCGAAGCAACACTTGCAATCATTTTATCTCCTCCTAAGTGCTCACTATTGTTTTAAAATTTAAACTTCCGCGACTGTTAATACGCTGAGAATACTAAACGATAGACAGGTAACTTGGGTAGCACTGTGGTCATTTAACAGGAGGTGCCATCCAACAGGTTTTCGATTTACGCTTTACACAATAATGAAATAAATACCATTAAATAAACACTGAGTGTGGCCATGTAACTCACTTCAAGTTAGTTATACGGCAATATAGACGTACTTTAGGTGGCAAGGTGTCAGATTAAGTCACTTAGGCCCGCTTCAGACAGGGCGATTTTCCCAGCAATTTCGGTGTTGCTGGCGAGTTGTTCCCAAGCTTTCCCTAGACCCTCGCGCTATTACACCAGTTGTTGAGATCGGGTCCGGCTCGAAAGGGACGAGCAACTCGGGCAACTCAGAGATGTTTTAAGCAGCAGCAGCCAACCAGGGACGCAATATCTTCACGTAACACCCCTGTGGTGTTGATAATGACAATTATGAACTTGGTTCTGGTTTAAAATGAATAGTTTTTGGGAAGAAAGTGTTTCAAAAAGGAGTCCGTAATTTCAGCGCCAATTAAAGATATAACAACGCGCTTATACAGCATACCTGTTTGCCTAAATGTTGATATAAAATAAAATTTACTGATTAGCGGCAAATGGAAGCAACACTTTCCTCCTTTAAAATGACCTGTCTTTTATAGACTTCAAAAGACCTTTAGTACTTAGTTCTTGCAGTGATAGATAACATTTTTAACCGTTTCATCGGAAGCCTTGCGCTACTTTTTGTTTGAAAGTCAATTACTTATAATACTCACTTTAATCGGCGATTTCTCTTCCTAGGTCTCCGGTCTTGTTTTGAAGTATAATTTATTTCGATTCCAGTCCCAGTCTGGTAAAGAGATATCCGATTTTCTAGAGATTTATGAGCTATATTTTAGATATAAAGTCGTAAATCATAATGGCGAAGGTTCATCCAACGTCAAGGCGCATGTATATGTTTGGCGGTAGCTCTTTTCCTTTCAGAAATGTACATCCGAAGCTTGTATATAAAAATTAATGAGTTGATAAAGGATGTAAACATGGTTCAATCTTTATCAAAAGATATTTGGTGACATTTTGGCTTGTGCCATTGACTGAAACTTGGTTGCTTACATCGAGAATACCGTGTGCAAGAAGGCTCCCGAGTTAAGGTTCTCCATTGAGAGGCCTGAAAACAACGTAAAGCAGTATTTCGACCTCCAGCTCAATATAGTCTCGGGGGTTTGTCGGAGGTGTGGAAAGACAAAGGCAATACTAGTACTTTATTTTGATAGTTGCCTTTCGAAGCACGTAAACGCAGGTTTAGTTTCAATAATGATGAATAACGCGCTCAAAAAGTCTTATTTCCGCATGATTGAAACGATTATGTTCCCCAGTTTAAGGCTGTAAGATGCCCTTGGGATTTCCTGACCAAACAGCTTTTGTATTGCTTCATCAAACAAGAAATTAAAAAAAAAAAAATCCAGAACGAAAAAGTTCGTAGTTGTATTTTTTTGTTTCATTAGTTATCCCGCAACTTGAAATCAATTGGCGGTAAGTTTGGTTTACGCATGGCTTTTTGCACAAATATTAACTTCGAACATTTGACTCCATTCGCTTCAGCTTAAAGAGGTGCCATGAAGAAACACAGGGACAAATATGTCACATTTGTTTCCGGTGCAGCCTACAAGGTCCCTTTTGATTTCAGGATATGCTACGAAGGGCAAACAAAAATTTGCATTTATTATAGGCTGGGGGAACAGAAACGATATTTCAAAAACAGAAACTAGTACTCGGAAGTCTCTAATCACCTTAAGGCGTGTAATGATGTCGTACCATTGTGAAAATAAACAACCACATTATTAACAAAAAAAGTGACCACAATCGCCTGTTGAAGAAACCAAACACAATTACCAAACATGGAAATGCTGTAAATAAGCCGTCATTGTCTTTGGAAGCAGAATTATGCAGTTTAGGAATCTCCAGTTTTAGTGGTGTGTGATGTTATTTTCGTAGTGATCTTAGGAGTTTGTGAGGTCACCGCATGATCTCTCTCCATTGAAGGTGACAGAGCAACACAAATACAACATGAAAATTGAAAATACACTAGTTATACAAAAACATACAACGCAACAACAAAACTTCGAAATAAAAGCGATTGATGCCACTAAATATCATTAAAAGCCAATGAACATGATTTAAGATATATATTTTCGATTGCTTCGTGAAGGTCTGCAGGAGGATGTAAGTTCCAATATATCAAATATGTCAGGTAAAAGTTTTGGAGGCTGGGAATTTGACTAATGAATAGCTGTGTTCTGGCAATACATTCTACAAAACGTCTGTCTAAAATTGTAGTGTGTAGCGCAGTATATGAGGAAAAACAATGATAAGGTGTCGGCTAATTTAAAAAAAAAATTAAATTTTGACTTTTGCTGTGTTTATAAATCCTCAACATTCAGTATACAATTTGGTTCAAATTGGGAAAAAGCATGATCGAAACTCGGTAAGTTCTGAAGAAACCGCACTCCTCTTTCCTACCTAAAGTTCAGACTTGTAATATTAGATTTATATGTAACCCCAAACAAACGCGATAATGTAGTCGCGAATGAACATTATCGAAATAAAGTTCACTTTTTTGGCTACAAAGAAAGTAATTTTCAAAATCTATTCTGTATCAATGCAGATTGTGCGATACTACGTTTCAGACGACTTAAATGGAACGTCCACCGTAGGCTTTCATGAAACTGGACCCCTAAATACCTGTAATCAGAAATGCACTTTAATGATTGTGACTGAAATATCATCAAGCTAGTAAGATTAGTGGTTTTATTATTTGAAGAATGAAAGAATATATTTTGTTTCGTTGATATTGTTTGCCTGAGACATAGGTTGAGAAGAAAGCGGCGACAGCTATGAAAGAAGGAGACGTCTGAGAGGCGAGAGGAAGGGCCAATTCATTCTAGTAGTCTAAGACTAGAGGTACGAAGTGCCAGGTGCTCATATACCGGGTGTTTTTGCGAAGACTTTCAAAAATCCTAAAAATTAGGGCGATTGAAAAAAGAAGAAACTCTCTTCGGGAACAAACTACCAGCCACGGCGGACGTCAGGAATCGCCATAAACCTACTAATTAGCCAAATAATTAATTAAAACTTGTTAATCAACTTTTTAATTGGGGGAAATAGACATATGGTTCCAATTAGAAAGTTGCTGAGCGTTATCGGAAACCACTAAATCAGTTATTTTCAGAAAGACGTTGAGCGCGTGAGACGAGTAGTAGCGCACTAAAGTTACCACTCGTGGAGCAGGTAGAAGGCTAGCGGTTGCGGTAAGGCGCCCGCGCGATTTTTCCGCTTCTTATCTAGCCTCAGCCTTGTACCTGCTCCACGAGTGGTAATTTCAGTGCGCTACTACTCTTCTCAAGCGCTTAAAGTCTTTCTGAAAATGACTGATTTAGTGGTTCTCGATAACGCTCAGCAACTTTCTAATTGGACTCATATGTCTATTTCCACTAATTAAAAAGTTGATTAGCAAGTTTTAATTAATT